CAGGGGAGTTCAGATCTGTTACTTCTTGGAGCTTTTAGCTGCCATTAATGGCGGATGTTTGAGGTCAAGCTGGAGAAACTGAGTGAAATGACTGGAGACAGTAACCGTGACCCAAGTTCCGACATTTCGAGCAGCGACGGTGGTCAGTGCGGTGGTGGAGCGACCGGGAGTTGGGCGTCATTGCGAGCAAGATGGGGGGTCCCGTACCAGACTCCCGTACTTCGCCGCTGGTTGTCGAACGCAGGGTTGGTGCGGTCCTGGGCGGAAAACAGGCGGTCACCAGCCCTTAAGCCGTCCTTGTGGCGGAGCCGATGTTTGGGGGCGTTCATAGATTCGTCGCTGCTTATCCGGGACACAGATTCGCGGCGGAGCATTGGCCCTGCTGTGACGTCGCCGCTGGTGGTGGGCTTGGTTCCGGATTTCAGCTACTTCCCTCGCACGCCTCGTTGTGGCAAGGTCCTTCACTCCTTCCCTTTGTCTACGACTGGTCCGGTTGACCGATGCGGCAGCAGTTCAGATCGGAAGAGAAGCTCCAGATCTTGAAATGTCTTGATTTCATTGTTCCTTTTGAATTCTCCCGATTGTTTTTCGGTTGAATGATTCTTTGTAATTTGGATGATTTTTTGAAAATTTTGGGAGGTTTTCTCACTTGATTGTATTCAAACCTCTCAACGAGAGCACCATTGTTGGATAATTGATACCCATATTGTATAAACTAGGAGATTCGAACAAGAATGTAGTAGGAGAATGGGGAAGAAGAAGATGAATAGTGTATAGAATGAATATTGGTTGTATCAGTTGTGTAGCCTCCTAAAGGAGTATATATAGGGAAAATCCGGGTCTGGGCCTCTAATATGGGTCTGACAGACCTGGTTACATAAATGGACTGATAGTACAAAAAACTAATCTAGAACATCTGAATAATAATAATGTACAATAATATGAATGATATACGCTAAACGTGTGTGGGCCGCTGTCCAGGCTCAATAGTCGGCAGACCGGGGAGTTGGAGTCCATATATTCCATCAACAGGTTTACAACTGAAGTGAAACTTAGTTCATCGTATCCTTTGGCCTTTAAGTAGTAATGACTTATGAATAGCTTTGATTATACATTTGATTCTTTCTTTCTCCTAGGTACATTTGATTCTTTCTTTCTCCTAGCTCTGAGATTATAAATCTATCAATTGAATTGAAACGGAATGAAACTCACAGTAATTTGCACTAAATTATATGACCTCTGTCGCACTAACATTGGGACAAGAGAATGTGGCTCGACTATTAAGAAAAATGGATTTATGTAGTTGATATTGAATTGATAAAGTAAGAATAAAGTAAAAATGATTTAGAGCCACACAAAAATTTACCAAATTTGATGTGACACAATCTTATTGGGATTTCCCGAAAGGGTAAAATGGACAATCTTAGTGAGTGGGAGGCAGTACGTAGTAGTTTAGTACTACATTTGTTCACATTTATTTTGTCGCAAAAAGTAAGAATAAAAATCACATAACATGGATGTTGTAATAGTTAAAGAGATGAGCTAAAAAGATAAAATAAAATAAGGAAGAGGAAGATGAAAATATAATATAACCTGCGTCCCACTAACATTAATGGGACATGATGGATGGTGCGGTTATTAAGAAAAATTAGATGTATGTGTTAAATATTGAATTGATAAAATAAGAATAATTTGAAACAACATAGACTTTATCTAATTTAATATGAGATCATCTTAATGAAACTTACTGGAAGAAAAGATAGGATAATCTTACCGAGGTGGAAGAAGTAATATTTATAGATTTCGATTTTCCAAGTAGCTATAGTTGCATAAAACGTTTAAATATTTGATAACACACTTCCTCAAGATGAAAATAGACCCACAAATGATTTGATTATTTAGAAAGGGAAGTTGTATTGTATAACCGAATAGAAATATTAGTCGTGGTAACGCTTTGAATAAATCATTTTTCAGCTTTACGTAAGCTCAGATATTTGAGAGCTAATATTATATTTAGGTGAAACTCATAAGAATAATCCCTACTTTTAGGGATTCTACAACATTTATCCGTATTGAGATGTTTATAAAATAATGTGAACTAGCAATAGTGTCCACAAGAATAAATTGGGGTGAATTCAAACTAATGTTTGTTTAATAATTCCAACCTCTACTCCTATTTTTCTTTTCCCGCTCTCTTTCTCAGGGTAAATTCAAACTAAAAATCGTTTTTATATCTTAATGTCATTTCCGCCACATGAGGTTATCTTTTAGTTGAAAGGTAGAAGTGTTACCCAAAAAGAAGAGCGATGAAGCAGAAAGTGGGTGTAGGAGTTGAGAGTACTAAAAGTGCAATAATTTGAATTCACCCCAATTTATTCATGTAGACATAATTGAGTTTTTTTCAAAAATAATGCTAAATAAAAAAAATTATACGAAAATAGAATTGAGTTAAATCAAAATAGTGATAGAATAAAACACGATTAATCAAAGCCCCCGACTAGTTTGACAACTTCGGCATGAAAACAAAACTCACGCAGGGAACAAGCTAACCAATAGGAAAACACTTGATGGCACCCAAAAAAACCTCTTTTTTTAAATTGTTATAAGTTTTTTATTCATAATCCGATTTTCTTAAAAATTATATCAAAATTCAAGATTTTTGAATTTTGATATACTTTTTAAGAAAATCGGATTATGAATAAAAAACTTATAACTTTTTTAAAAAAAAAATATTTAAAATATTTTAAAAAAAAGAGGGATTTTTTAATTTTGGGTGCATGTTTTCCTATTAGTTAGCACCTTTTTAGCTTGTAAGCTACGTGAGTTTCCATTCCAAAAGAGTTGGCGGCTTTGGTTAACTGGGATTTATTTCAGCAGTATTTTGATAAATACTTTTAACTCAACCATAATTTCGCATATATATTTATTTAAAATACTAGTTTTTGGAAAATACTAGTTTTTATTTCGTAAATACTTTTAACTCAGCCCTACTTTATGCCTAAGTATTTTGGTAAATACTTTTAACTCAGCCCTAATTTCGTATATATTTTTTTATTTAGCATTATTTTTGAAAAAAACACTCCACATAATTGTTAGTTTGAATTATTTTTAGGGAAAAGTACGGAAAAGGTACTTGTGGTTGAGCCCGTTTTCAGATAAGTTCATGTGTTTCATTTTTTATCAAAGTGGTTCATGTGTTTGAATTCCGTTATCACATGATGGTCACGCCGTTAAAAACGTCTGAAAAAGACCGTTAAAAGTAACTCCGGTTTTCAAAAGTGCCCGAAAAATTAAAAGAAAAATACATGAAGGTGCGCCTCAATAAGACGACCGCTATGTCATCTTTCTTTTTTGTTTTCAGCCACCCTTGTCACCGGAAAGTCCATCGGAAATGTGATATTAGCGAAATCATTTTTAAAAAATAATTCAAACAGATCTGAAAAATACAAAGGCGAAGGTGGTTTGGAGGTCATCTTGACGTAGCGCACCTTTCGGTATTTTTCTTTTAATTTTTCGGGCACTTTTTAAAATCATAGTTACTTTTAACGGTCTTTTTCAGACGTTTTTAACAGCATGACCCTCTTGTGATAACGGAATTCAAACACATGAACTACTTTGATAAAGAATGAAACACATTACCCTATCTGGAAATGGGTCCAACCACAAGTACATTTTTCTGTATTGTTCCCTTATTTTTAAGAACACTTTCAATGGGGATTATTATCGTCTAGTATCTTGTGATCTGATGTCATCACTGTGACACTTTCAAAAAGGAGGTCACTGGTTCGAATCTCATCTCAATTCAAGGATGTTGGCCTTAACAGAGCAGATAATATAATATGTTAGAAAATTTTGTCAAAAAAAGATCAAATTAAAAAGAGTGTTGCTTGGTCCACCAACTACCGCAATAGTTTTTAATAAGAATGTTTTTATTCGAACTTATTTCAATCTTAAACTAAACTAGAACAAATTTAAACAGATCAAATCAAACTTCGACAAGTATAAAATACACATAGAACATATATTTACTAAACCAAATCGAATCACATTTAAACAACCCAAATCAGACCAAAAAAGTTCAATCCAATTAAAAACATCATAAACTTACAATTACTGTATTTTTATTTATAAACAAATAATTATATATTTACGACTAAAAAAATATTTATAGAAATTCGACTTCTCTAAAATATTGAATAGTAGCTTTTTTAAAAAGATTTAATCATAGTAGCTTATGTTCTATTTTTACATATATGGCCACAACATTACATCCAAAATTCAGTCAATTATTATAGTGATTGTGTTGTTTGGATAAAAGATTGAATAGAGCTTGAACTTAAATAGTGCAGCTGAATTCAAACGCTTACCCATGAAGCGTTCCATTCCAGCCGATCCCCTATTCCGGTATTGTCCTCTACAGCGCATTCAACATTTTTTACAAATTCGTTTTCGCTGGAATCATAAAAACTGTAAAATACCTTTAATATATTGTACTACCACAATACCACTATACCACCCTTTCCCGACACAAATTGGTGTCGTTAATTGCCTAATCCTATACGTTTGATAATTAGCATAAATCCATGTCGCTTTGCATATGTTGGCAATAATTGATATTTGAAGCGATGGAAAGTTTGAGGTGGAAAAATGTATCTTTTGATGAAGAGAATGAGTTATTAGGAAAATAATTATTTGAATATGTACACAAAGTTCATATCGCAATGTAAATAAGCAGCTGCTCTCTTTTAAAATTCTACTAGTATTATAATTATACAAGAATGTCCTTTGATGTAATTTGACTTATCTGGTCATTTTTCGGCTCTTTTTGCCAAACAGGTTTACTTAATTCGGTTAACAGTTCATATTCAGCACCTTAATATTCAACTTCAAACCACCGTCTCAGGTTCAGACAATAGCCTCTAATTCAGGCATTAGCTTACCGTTCCGATTCGTTGTGCCAAACATAGCCTTAAATTTATGTGCTAAATAAGTGGAGCCGGCAAAAACACTGGACTTGGGACTAAATCTTGCAGTTCACCTCCGGTAATCTGACTCTCAAATACTCGACAGACTCTGCACATTTTATTTTCAAAATAAAAAATGCAAAGTGCCCTTACATCACATCACTGAATCCCCGCCAAAAATTTCTTGAATATCGAAGAAAAATAATAAGAGAAAAAGAACAAAATGGTATGAATAAAATCTCAGCCATCCTGTTTGCTACTCTTTCTTATTCAAAAGACCTCTTTTGAAGTTGAATCTTCAAAACCTTCAAGAAATAGAATGATCATCTGGTATCAACAATGCAGTCTATCCAAGCAGCCCAGCTCTTAAATATTCAGTCACTATGCAAGAAGCCATTTATATGAAGAGTTATGTCATTTTGTCTCTTCCAAGTCAAAGGTTGGTTCTGAAATAAGTGTCTCCCCTTCAAAGTTATTCACAAAAGTGGTTGTTGTCCTGTTTGTTTAGTCCGGCAAAACCATTCTGACGCTCTTCTCGACGCTTATTCCCAGTAACTTCAGATCCTGGCCTGATAACTTTGTTATTGAGGGGACGCTTATCAAGAAAACCAGGGGCAAAAAGTGGTTTTTGTTTCTCTTTCTTAAGCCCATCTTGAATACCATTACTATACTGCTTTGCAGAGGAATTAGCAGTAACCATATTATTGCCTGATATCTTTCCATTTGAAAAATTACTCTGCAATCCACCTTTGTCACTGGAATTAGTTTGGCTGCCCCCGGTTGAATTTCTCAACAAATGACAATTGGAATTAGCTTTGGTTTCATCCTCAACTTTGGGGGAAACAAGTGTGTGAGTCGAAGAAACTGAAGTCTGAGCAGGTTCAGCAGCCATATAATCCACCATTTCTTGATCATGACTACAAACCTCGCCATTTTTTCCCAAATGAATATTATGCAAAACACTTTTGTCACCGGATTTAGTTTGACCTCCCCCAGTTGAGTTACTCAACAAATGGCCAATTACATTAGCTTTACTTTCACCCTCAATTTTGGAAATCGGTAGTTGAGTAGAGGAAACAAAACTCTGAGCAAGTTCAGGAGCCTTACAATCCACCATTTCTTGATCCTGACTAGAAACTTTGTCGTTTTTTCCTGAATGTATACTACTCTGCAAATCACCTTTGTCCCCTGAGTCATTTTGGCATCCCCAGGTTGAAATTATCAACAAATGGACATTGGAATTTTCTTCGCCTTTATACTCCATTCTTGAAATAGGTGCTTGAGTAAAAGAACCCGAACTCTGTGCAGGTTCAGGGGCCTCACAATCCACCATTTCTTGGTCCTGACTAGAAACTTCAACGTGTTTTTCAGGATGCATCTCCCCTTTAGAAGTATGAGTCGTCATTTTAAAGTGTTCTTCCGTTGACAATAAGCCAGAAGGAAGGGGAGGAACATCAAGGGATTCTGATGTATGAGATTTCACAGCTTCGTTCAGGCATGGCTGCACTTCTTCCACTTCGGCAACAGTCTGCTCCTCTCCCTTTGAATTCTCAATATGGTATAAGCATGTCGGTCTAGCAGATATCCTGTACACGAAGTCTTGGACATTAATAACAATAGCATTTATTAGTGTAGGCTGTAGCACATTGCTAACAGTGAAATTTGGGAATTTATGTCATTCAAAGTGAGCATTAGTTTTCCACTGGTTCTTGGACAACATACACAGGGCTATAATCTCTTTTTAATTGAGAATGTGTTACATTATATTGGAAAAATAAAGATAAATTTTGGAAGAAATTGTCATATACAAAAAAAAGGCATAGTGCGCAAGTTAGCAAAGCACATCATGCAAATGTTTTTGTTCCCATTGTGGTTTTAATTAACAACAATGGTGATAGGAGAAAAACAAGGCAAAATTGTGAATGAATTAAAATTTAAAGTAGGAAAGGAATTAAAAACCAACTTTACAGGTTATTATTAACATGATTATAATCATACACTAATTTCTTTTCTTTGAAACCCTATACTAACTAATATTGAAATAAATAAATGGGAAGTTTTTTCAGGCTTCTATAGTCCTTGAATAATTAATTGAATGCATTTTAGTTCAGTCATTTAAAATAAGCATTAAGACTCCCTACTCCCCAAGTTGTAGTCATGCTACAGTTCAAGTCGTGTCATATAGAACTTTTAGTCCCTAATTCTTCCCAGAAAAAGAGTTCAGTCCCTTTCATGTTGAAAGACCAAAACTGAAACTTTCTTAAAAAGATTGCATCCTGTGCTAAGTTACTAGGGATTAAAATCGATAGGTACCGTAGAACAGTTCTTCCTGAATAAATTATTCAAGCATAGGCAGATATGAATGTTAGGGAGGAAAACAAAGTATATTCAATATGCAAAAAATAACTGTGCCTCCGAGCAGCAAAATAAGCATAATCAGCAGAATGAGCATTTTCATCTCACATGATGCCTCATTTTCCCCAAACTCATCATTTCAACAAGACTGGTGATGATGAATCAACATGTAGCGTGATTTTACCTGCTATAAAATAGCATGTAGGCTCCCTGTGAGAGAACCTCATCCAGATCAACACAAGCAACCTGCACAATGTTGTCCATTCAAACATACTCAAAACTAACAAAACAAATGCTTGAAGGGAAAAGAAAATTATTTACAACTCACAGCACCAAGTTTGGTAGTTTTGTGAATTTTACTGAATATGGAATTGCGTTTTTGCATACACTAACTGAAGAAAAAAGTGGATGTGAAGCACTCATAAACTGGACTTGCCAACAATAATGATGTAACATGCATTGGATAGCTAGGGGTGGGCCAATCCGGTACATTTCCCATCCTAAGTTCTGTGCAAAAAACTTTACTAGAAGTGTACATTTTTTACTATATAAACCTATATGGATGAATTACTTTTCCTGCCAACCCCAAACACGGATTTTCAGAGGCCTTGCCTACGCCCATGGTAAAGTGAAAGTGCAGTGTAAAGCGGAACCATGGAAGGGATAAGATAACCACCTTACAATCATCAATTCTGTACCACCGCCCACAATGATCTTTGACATAGCATATGTAATGACCAAAAAATGATGCATTCAGCATGTCCACATGAACAATGACAGCATACAACTTGTAAAATTCATCACTCTCACTTGTTCCACTCATGTATGGACAAAGCTCTAAAGTCTCTGGAAAAGTGACCCTCTTATTTAGTTTTCCAAATCTCCCCCTCTGCATTAGTGAAAAATGTTTAAAAATCAGATACTGGGGAAAACATCAATTGAGTTCATATCCAGTATAACAGCAGGAGAAGATAAAAATGGCCCATTCAAAAATGGCCCATTCAAAAATGGCCCACTCACTGGATTGCTTAGTGAGTAACCATTCCAAATTACCTAGATTACTTTTTGCAATATCTTCAGCAAGTAGTATACTCTTCAGAAGTGTAATAGTAAAATAAAATGATTGCACAATGAACCTAACATACTTGTCACGGCGGTAAGGCGAGTCACAGCGCCAGCGGACCGCAATATAGCCTAGACAGCAAGGCGCCGCTTAGGTGACAAGGCGCCCGCCTAGGCGACAATTAGGCAACTAGTCACACAGTATGTAATACTACATATATATTAAACATATAATTATATATATTATTATATCTAACATTCTATTTAACTACATTTAATTTGTAATTTAATATATATTCTATATGATATATTAATAATTCAATTGCATAAAGTTATATGCATACTAATATCTATTGTAGTGTGTATACATATTGTATAGTGTATACGAATTATACATGTATAATACTACATATTAAAATTAAACTATGCAAAACTGTAGTGGGTACTGCTTAATGTTTAACTGCATATAAAATATATTAAATTATGGAATAGGAAGTCTGATGGACATAACCGATACAAATAAAAAGTTGGAGAAGAGCGCAAGTCATCTTCAACCTTGCGACGCAGGCACGCAGCAACTGCAAGTTGTCTTCAATGGTTCAACCTTGCGACAGAGGCAATCAGCAGAGAAGTAGTGACTAGCGATGCTTCATGTTTAGGAGTCGTCGATTGGCCTTCAAGTTTGAGAGTCGCCGATTGTCCTTCGAGTTTCAGACCTTCAGAACACTCTACTTTCTAAATCTTATTTTGGGCTGGGCTTCTAAAAACGAATTTATTGAGATTTTAAGCTCCCTAGCGTGTTTATGCCTGGATGACGCCAAAGGCGACTGCAGGCTTATCTTCTTCAGGCGAGTCGATCTCCTCTGTCGACCCTACTTCATTGCCAGGTATGGAACCTAAAGAGACAGGTATGGAACCTAAAGAGAACAAGGTCAATGTACTACGAATACTCACAAGGACGATGAACAATCCATATGAGATCAGTAGTTCCCATGATAGGAATTTTTTAAATGTGGTTGTTGACTTGTTGTTTTTCAATTCCATACAAGACTGCTTATGTGTCGCAATCTTCACTAAATTACAACTTTTTGATCTGGAAGCAAACATTCCTATCTTTTCACTAGCTATATGATGAACATAAATTTCTATTGCACACCTGAAATCGCTTCAAGGCAATGGTAAGTATGTTTGGTGCCTGACAGATCATAAGGCGCTTCCATGCCCCAACATAATCATTGCATCTGCAGGAGTTGTAATTTCATGCTTGTAATTAACAACTTTATCACGACGACAAATTTTAAAATATTACCAGTTTGATCCAGAGCAAAGAATCAAATAAAATATATGTTTGGCTGACCGTTGACTAACATTGGACTATTGAGTCAGTAGGGATTTAAATGAACCGAGTGATACTGCTCTTGTATAAATTTGAAAAACATATGTTTTACTTGAATGGATCTTCAATCCTATTAATATAGCTGGACACATTTTAGATCGTGTTTAGGATTCTTGGTACAAAGGAAAATTTCAGGTTTATGAACAATATGTGCTTGTATGGTTGAGTCACTTGAGTGTTAGTTTGCTATCAGTTTGTCAAAGGGCTAATTTATAGTTCTTGTAAAAATGTCCATGCCAAATTGTTTACTGTGCATTAAGAACTGTTCACAAATAGTTTATTTACAATTCAATTACTAATAAATTATATTCCTTCAAAATAAGAGGTGACAGTTCTAACAAGGTACAAGTTTTTACTTTCGGCAAGGTCCAACAGAAAACAGTAATAGATATCATAATTTCATTTTAAATTTTTCTTAAATATCTCTATTTTGGAATATAACTTGAAAAACTATCTTGATTTGGTTAAACACATGGTTTAAAAAGACTAGTTCGGGTATAGAGGTGGTTTTCCCCAGAGAGGTGAGGCATAAGCCTCAAAATACACCAACTAAATTATGCATAATAAAAAGTCCAAAAAGTCTCAAACACAAACACATATATGATCACACCATCAAACGTGATAGTTCAAAATGAGAATTCAACACACAAACAGACACATTACACATAACAATTTAAAGCTTTCCAAGCTTAGAACTTTACACAAAAGAGAAAGTATATGTTAGGGTGTAAATGATTTTTTTAAATGGAACAAGGCTTATTAGGGTTTGGTGTGGATGTGTTTATTTGTTTAATGTATGGGCCTTTATTAAATACAAAAAACTGAACCATTTTTAAGTTACAACCACTTGAAAAGATAGAAACCTACGAAAATTGATTCATGAAAACGCCTCAAGACGCGCCTCAGAGCATACGCATTGGCTTTTGAGGTGTAAGCCTCTTATCTTGCAAAAAAAATAAGCTTTGAAACTTTCTCTGTACATCTCACCTTGAGGCGCACCTCAAAACCCGCCGTGTACGTGCCTTTCTAAACCATGGTTAAACACGACACTTTTTTTCACAAAAACTTTTGAAAGGGGGGCTCTCTTTTATGGGACAGTGTGAGTAATATAATTTACATGACCTTGTTTGTTATTGTATTGTGTTTCAAATGTGGATTTGTGTTGTTTTGGACTCTGTGCTTGTTAGGGAGAGGAGAAATATATGTAATGACATCATACATTGATATTTGATGCATTAATAGATGGGCAAGGCTTACTTGTCACATTTATACATATTATCTCCGTGAAGTGATTCTCTAGCAGTGAACTTATCCAAACATTCCTCCAATGATGCAATATCGCCATCAATCTCCACAGTCAGATCCATAATATTTTCATACTGATTTGAAATGGTATTGCATTTTGTACAAATGACCTGAATAAATGTACGGATAAAAAATTGTGCAAAAGTACTTCAGTTGAGAAGACAAAATGTAAAATGGGATGAACAGGTGTAATAATTATCATACTACTTGAATTTTTGAAAATATAGAGACACTTGAGATGATAAAATAGCGAAGTCATCAGTTATATACAGGATTCCAAAATTTTGTCTTAAAGCTATAGCATATGAATGCGGTTAAATAGTAATGATGGGTCTATCAATACTTGCATAGTCCTGAGACTCACTCTCAAGTCCTACCTCATCCCTCTCAAATGGATCAAGTACATCACACATGGTTCACTGAATACATGCAAATCAGCGTTTAAAGGAAAGCTTAACTTCAAAGTTAATTAGCAAATTTTGCTATCAAGTATCAACTATGAATCTATGATAGCTACCTGAGATTGAAGACGGCCACCAAAAATATGTTGAATAAGAGTAGTTTCTTGTGAACTAGGATGAATAGCCTTTTCTCCACCAAATTCATCAAGGCACACTAATTGCATTGTATCAATAGCAAACCTAAAAAATATAAAATATTAAACAACCATTATTTTCTCATATGACTATATGAGTGCATAACTTGTTTATCGTAACAGCATGACTAGCGTGTCTGCCCTCTGGAAGTTGAAACAAACCTCATGAACTCATGGGCATCCTCCTGTTTTCCATACCCAAGATTACCGCCTAGACTAGGCAGCCGAGAGAGAATGTTGATTGGTGAAAAGGATTGTGAGCTTTGACGTGCCCTCTCAACATGACATTCGAATTCACAAAAGAAGCACCAATCATTCCGTCTACCTAAAATGAGAGATAGAGACAGATTATGTAAATCTAAATAAAGAAAAAAATAAATAAAATAGTTCCAAAATAAGGTCAGTAACATGCATGAAATCATTTGGGAACAAAAGTTTAATGCATAATGATTGCAGTAAATGCAGTTACATTGTCTCCGATGGCCTTTCTCGAGTATGTAGGCAACCAGGGGCCTAGTGTAAACAAGACATTGCAGAACCACATTTGCAAAGCAGCTGCATAGACCAATTCCAACAATGGTGAAAGAACAACAGCAGTAGGCAATTAAGGACTTCATTTCATGCTCCAATTAGTGAGATATAATGTAGATATTTTGAAGAATACCTATTTCCACAATTCAGAAGCCCACAAGGAGGAAACCCTGGCTTATCCCAGTTAAAGAGATCAATAAATTCCTCATACGGAAAGAGTATCTTCAAAATATGAGCAACCGAACTTCAATAAGGCCTTCTATATTTAAAGTGTGTGATGTAATAGCATACAATATGAATATAAGTTATAAAAAAATAGGTTGAAAAGCACCTGTCCTGAAAGGTTGAGTACGTTAGAGGTTCCACTAGCAGGTACTAATGAAACTTCAGAAGTTCTCCTTCGCGGTGTAGATGTTCCCATAGGCGACTTATTTATGCCAGACGTTCTAGAATCTCTGCATTCTGACTTGTGAGAATTCCAATGTGATCTTTGGCATGTTTCAGAGCTACAAATCATGCAAAGCAATATCACAGTAAGTAGAGTTGCAAGACATAATACCCGATCCAATAAAAAACATACAGAAACAACAGGAATAGTATACCAGCACGTACACGCTACACTTTATTAGTAAGAAAAATTGGCATGGAACCAAAATGGTATTCAGTGTGAAATTATTTGAAAGGAAAAGGTCATAGTACAAAGCGCAGAACATTATTTGTGATGCCTCATACAATAATAATGTTAAACATAAATACGTAGTATTAATCAGGTAAAAAATAGGAAGCACACAATAAAATATGTCTTATGTAAAGAATCATTGGATCCTTTTAAAGGTTGTCCATTAATCTGTATTAAGAACGGGGGAGCATTTAAAGATTAACAAAAGAGACAAACTCAACATAGGACCATGGTAAAGAATAATACTATAATGTACTCACTCAAACTGCTGCATTACATATATCCACTCCATAGAGTAGTGATAGAAGTCCAACAACAAACCGCTATTCAGACATCCAGAGGCGGAGGTATGTAGTGGATTAAGGGGGCCATGCCCCCCCCCCACTTTTTTATTTTTTTAAAACATTACTATTACAAATATTACTTTTGGGATTAAGTCTTGGATGTTGTTGTACTGTTAGAAATAATTTAAGCCCCGCCAAAAAAATTATGAAGGCAATTAGGCAAGCCTTAAGTCTATATATTTTCAAATTTTATATTTTGAAGATTTCCAATTTTAGATTTGTGATTTTTCACCTGAAAGTACACTTTTTGGCAAAAAACGACTTTGGGGTGAATTATATGTAGGAAAGTGTACTTTCCGGGTGGGGAAGTACTTAAATTGCAAAAAATTATCAGTGAAATGATCAAATTTGTGAGCAAGTGAAGTATCCAGACTAACAACGAACCCAGCAAATGAGAAGCACAAACACACGTCCATACTAGAATGCAATTATAATACAATTAACGGGTAAGGGGTGAGCGGGCGCACCAGTAGTTGACCCTCTTGCAGCCCGAACACTTCTTGGGGCCAGGTTTGCGACAGACGGCACAGCCGACGTCCAACACCCCCATTTTGCGGGGATGGCCGGCGGCGGAAGAGTTGAAGTTGGCGTCGACGAAAAAGTACTTGGAGGCTGTGTTCTTGAGGAGGTGCAGCAGTCCCAAAGCTATCAAGAACGCAGTGACAATGAATTGCAGCACCCAAGCGAGATTGAGATCCGCCGAGACCGACATGCAACGATATCTCTACTTATCAATATATATTCGCATACCCGCGCAAGATAGAATGCGTAGAAAGGAAAATGGACACTGCCCTTCAAGTTGCTTAGTTCTTTGCTTCAGGTTAGGGTTCCGAATTGCAAAGTCGGTTGAAATTCGCATGGATCGGGGATCCCTTGTCGTTCATTCATCATAACTAAATGAATCCCGATTTTGAAGGCTAAGTAAATAAAGGTTTAATGCATCAAACCCTCTTTCATACAAAACTACGGATTTAAAAAATGCATCAAACTCCCTTATGTTTTAATTAATCATGCACATAAATCCTTTTATGAATAAATTTAACAATTTGGAAACCACTTTTCCTAATATTCTGATTGAATAAACAAGTAAATATGTCAAAATCTCTAAATCATAAAAAAATGTTAATCATTTTTTTATTTGACAATTGAATTTATTCATAAAATGGGTTATGTGCATGATTAATTAAAACACAAGGGGGATTGACGCATTTTTTAAATCACAAGGAGTTAATGCGTCGAATTTCCATATCGTAGGGGGTTTTGGGCATTAAACCCAGTAAATAACTAAAGGGTGTTGCTTAGCGCACCCCACAATTGCTAAACGTAACCTGAGTGAGACAAATTTGACCTTCTTAATTATTAATTAAATTAAATATAATTACAACGTTAATTGAAAAGGGTTTGCGCACCTCCATAGCTTCTGCTCGGCTCCTATCTTGTTGTCCACATGAATTTTACGTTAAATATACCTCCAATCAAATGATGACATGTGTCAAGTAATTCGTTTTTTTATAAAATGTCATAACTTTTTCATTTTTGCTCCAATTTTTATAAAAATTATACCAAATTAAATATCTTTTTATTATCTTTCATATGACACCAATATTATATATGTAATTTTTTAAAAAATCTAATCAAGTCTCGTGAACGGTCGTTAAATGTATACTTCCTTCGTTCCCTTTTAATTACAACAGTCAACACTTCGCGTTTGCCAACGCACAAGTTTGATCATCAATATCTTTCATTCCCTATTAGTAAAAAATTTATAAAATTCATATTTTGAAATTTTAGAATGAGAAGAATTTAACAATATTTTTAAAAAAATTAATTTATAATACATTAATTAAGAAAATATAGTCAAAGTAGAATATGTGAATAGTGCAAAAAGTTCAATGTTGCAATTAAAAGAGAACGGAGGTAGTATTTACTACTCCGTATTATTTAAATCTAGTCTAGTCATATCTGATTATATTTGTTTGAATCTATCTGGTTCAAGATCAGTTCAATTAAAAACATCTTAAATATCATTCACATCATAAATCTAGTCATGTAACATATATGACCCGTAATGTGGAATCAGCATGGTGCTGATGGAGTTTTAAAAGGTGGGGCCCTACACGTTCAAAATTAGTCAAACAAATAAAAAATGAAGATAATTAGTTTACTGGAGTTAAAAATGTTACTTATTCAATTATATAATCTAATATAGAACTTCCAAAAAAATCTAATACGAAGTATAGAATTGCGCAAAGTTAAAACAAAACATTTATGTTTTTATAATATATAAGGTTTATATCAATCATCCAATACAATTGTAACAGGGTCTCTTATAACATTATGACATTCTGTAAACTGTTTAATTCGATGAAGAAGTGGAGCATCTCATAATGTAACACTAGCGTCGTGATAGTAAGACCATGTCGTAATCATTGGTGGCAACGGAGCATTGTCGTCAAGCCAGATCTGTGCATCAACAGAAGTTGTCATTTTATGCATATCATATGGTAATGTGACAATAAAAAAAGGTATTGTAAAAACAAAATGGAACTATAAAATATTGTTTGCTTACAGCTATGTAGTGTTGTCGGGAATGAAGCCGTGCAATGCAAAAATTTGTCTTCAGAGGACTACTACCAGGAGGAGCGATCATGGGCAAACAAGTGACTGGTTCGTGGAGGTCAAGATGCACTACAATAACCTGGTATAACGTTGCAAAGATCAACCATGTGTGCGGCATGAGTATCCAATGCTGGGATGGTGCAGGACTGATGTAGTAATCTATTTGCTCCCGCAAGTCATCAATATTGTCAAGAAGGCATATAGGATCATACAGCTCACGATGACGATCTATTTCTTCCACTAACTCCCTTCGAACTCTAACCCATTCTTTTTCTCCCCATCCTAAAAGCTCTGCAAATGAGTGATATCTCCAATGTCCATCTTCAATAACGTCCACAACTTTACTAATATGTTCAAGCATGAATGTCTCAACATCATTACCAAAATCAAATTGCATTCGATTTTGATTCCCTTTAATATCTTTGTCACGTCCACGAGACCTATGATGTGATGTTGTACCCTTGGTTTTTTTGTATTTTTTCTCAGTGTACTCCCACGTGCTTGGGTCTCGAATGGTTGATTTTTTTTGGGCCTTCCCTTCGTTTCATGAATTGGCGGCTCTTTCGTAGTATTAAATTTTGGATTTCTCATCTCATTCCATTTTGCATGAAGTCTTTTTTTTCTTGTGCCGACAGACGACCTGATTGAAACTCATCAACTATGGTTTTTAGGACCACATCATCAACACTTATATCATCGGCCTTGTCATTGTCTTGTTCCTTATTTACATACCATTCAACTCTTCTCCAAAAAACATGTACCATTGATGGATGTAGTGGACGATTATCACGAATACAAGTTGCTAGCTCATGTGGACATGGTAAACCATAACACTCCCTCCACCAATAGTCATTGCATGTTGTATCATACTTTCCTGCTATGACCTCATCATGCATCCTTATTAACTCCTTCATGCACTCATTTGACACCATGTACTGAAGCTGACTAAGTGTTGGCGTTGTATCCAATACCGTTGGAATGGTGCAACGTGACAACTCTAAAGATCCCTTCACTTCATCCAACTGATCATTGAGTAAGTTGTTTATCTCAGCAAAAACATTGTCAAACTCCTTAACAGATGTGGCTAATTGTAGCTTTAACATTGCATGTGCAGATTCCACCTTGTAGCACAAAAGATAATGAAATAAAACTAAAGAAATTATTCATAATTTTTTTTATAAAATATTGATTTACCTATTAGTAGTTCTTGTGCCAAAATGCATGACATGGTCGGTCACCATGCACAATGGCTAATGGTGAACGAGGTAGGACATAGTACCTTTAATTCATTTAAGACCCACATGTAATGTTCTGCGCTTTCGGCTCCCATCCACGCAAATGCAACAGAGAATGTCTTCAACGTACATGTAAATCCCACTATTTCTAGAAAAGGCATCTTGTATCTGTCATAATTATTCAAGTATGTTACATATATTTATATCATTTGCACGAATGAATAATTATAATTTAAATGAAAATTGTTTACCTGTTTGTCTTGTATGTTGTGTCCATTATGAGAACATAAGGAAAAGGAGCAATAATTGTAGTGAATCTCGATGCGCGAATATCATGTCATGTAAATCTTCACTCCCTGGTACTAACCTATTAGCCTCAAAGTAATCATATTTTGAAATCAAATGAAGTCATTGTTGCATGACAGTACGTCCATCCATCCATTCCTTCTTAAGCTTACATCTTGCGTTATACACCTGCTTTCTAGATGTAACACTATCAGAGTTTGCCATTTTTAAACTTTGAAGAATTGGCTTAGGCTTGCACCCCGCCTCAGATAAGTCTCTCACCAAATCCATCTCATGCTTTGCCAATTTGCCAGCAAATGCGTGACCCAATAAGCTCGTTGGAATAGCATGGTTGTGAAATCCACAATTAACCTGCAATTGCCATAAATTTCGCTCTACTTCCCTCCCATATAATGCAAAAGGGCAATCACTTTTCTTTGTTCTCGATGGTTTCTTTCTTTTGTCTTGTTGCACCCCTTGTGCTTTGACTTTTTTTTTTGCAGTTCGATACTTTCTGAAGTTTTCACACGCAAGACGTACATTACCAAGTTTTTGGGAATTACTTGGCCTCGATTTTGCAATAGTTAATATTATGTTTCTCTTTTGGGCCTCTACTCTAGCCCAATTAATCATAGACTCACGATCCGTCAAAGTATTATTAGTTTGAAAGTCTTCCGAAAAATTATGTGAAATGAATGGTTGTGCCTCTTCAACAGGTTCAAAATTTAATTTTTCTTCGACACGAGTCAAGCTGTCATTGTGAAAAATAAGGCCAACGTACACGTCACTATCATCCTGCATGTATCATACGAGTAATTGATAAAAGCAAATAATATGAGATAATGTACTACAAGCAAACTGCATTTACATTTAAACTTTTACATTGGGTGATTAGACCGATTAGTCCTCTACAGTTAAGACCGACTAGGCTGATTGAGCCGATTCGTAGTATTAATTTAACATTCTAAAATATAGAGGAATATAGTTATTAAGACACATTAATTTATAACTATACTACCATTATGTTAATGATGTTTTTAATTGAATTAAAATTTTATAGTCTAATCAAATCTGGTATAATCTCATTCGATTTGATCTGTTTAAGTTTGGTCTGGTCTAGTGTAAACTCTATGTCACGAATTTCTGTCGTGTTTACCCCAGGCCAGGCTTCCCTCAGCCCCCCGTAAAAAACAAAGTAAAGGTAATGGACACAAATGTAATTATGGTAATTTTAGTGACTATAATTGTATTCAAATGTTGCATCATAGTGATTATAAAACTCACACACAGTGACTTATAATCACATTTTTGTCCATAGATTTTTTGAATTAATATTTTATGGAAAACCTCTAAAAATAATAACTAAAGTATACTTTATCGACTTTCAAGAACTGAAAATCTTTTTTAAAAAGTCTAATCATTTAGATTCATCAAATTCTAATATGATTTGATGAATACTTTATCGACTTTCTAGTACATTGTTACTAATATTTAAGTCGGATATACTATAGTCTGCTATGAGACAAAACGGGTTGAAGTGAAATTATTCATTACACTACAAAATTTAAACATGATTAAAAAATTACTTTGTTTATATTTAATATGAAAAAACTTTAGGCAAGTAAAGATGTACTACCTCCGTTCTCTTTTAAATATTGATCACAAATATAAATTGAACGTCACATTAAATTATGAACGGAGGAAGTATTAAATTAACATTCTAAAATATAGAATATATAGAGAAATTCATTTATTTTG